CACATTAAAACATTAAAACATACTTAAAAGAAGTGGATAGAAATAGTCCAACACAGTAACCACGCAACTTACCTAAACTTTTAAAGGAATGAAGTACAGAGTTAGGTTACAATCATTTATTAAAACTTAGGTCTCTTAATTATACATTCAATTCATTGTACTAAAAAAATATACATACAACTCATAATTATTTGGGTTTGCTTGTCTCGAAAGTACATGACTTGTAAATTCATAACAGGAAATATAATTAGAGATGCCCAATGGACAGGAAAAAGAAGTATGGAGAGAGCTTGCTAGGTTATATATTTTCAAATTTCTACATTGTTTGAGTTTAGGATTCTTACAACCGAGTGCAATGGCGTTCTAAAGTTCATACATCCCACTCCACTTAGTGAGATAATGCTTTATTATCGTTGTTTGTACCTTATTTGAGTTGAGTTTGACATGAACTTTCCACAGCCATAGAACCTGAATTTGGTAGTTGGTAAGTTAACGACTATCACATGAATAATGTTCCCTACATTTACTTCAATCGCCATAAAATTGGTCCACATCTTTAAATTAAGATGTCGACATACCAATCTCCAACCATCTTTTACCCTTTCATTTCATTTTTACCACATTTTTAATTGTCATAAAAGTGAAGTCATTGTTTCAAATACTACTACATTCATTGTGTGCAAAACTCGTAATATATAGAATTCAAAAAGGCAATGAGAGTAGTAAATATGACATTGTAAAGACATTTAGGTGTCATTCGTTTGGAAGTTATTTGAGAATGACTGAAAGCGTTTTTGGTGAAATAATTTTGGAACTAATTATTAATAAAAATGCAAATAAATCTTAAAAAAACACTTAAAGTGCTTCTTGCAAGAAGCGTTAGAATTGATTTTGGAACCCATTTTCCTAAAAGCAATTTCAATCATTTTAAAAAAATATTTCCAAACGCGTTGTTTCTAATTTGAGGCATTATGCTGATTTATGGGTTCTAGATTTTTTTTTTTTTCTTTTTTTTTTTTTGGTCAAAAGGTAGAACTTTATTGAATTACATACGAATGGTTACATTTGCATCCTCTGCTAGAATATTAAAAAGAAATTCTAGATCTAACTCATCCTAACCAAATCTCCCGCCATGCTTAACGACATGCGCTGCTACTGAGTGAGCTGCACAATTGCATTGCCGAGGGATGAAGCAAAACTCCACCAACTGGAATAAGCTCGATATCTTCCAAATATCTTGGAGATAAATATCCATAGCTACATCAGCCAAGACCTCCTGTTGAGCATCTAAATCAAACCTTTTGAGTCTGATTCCACCACCAATCGAATACCAGGTACCATCACCGCACTACCAAGTATCCATTCCATTCCCACCCCAATTGACTCTGCCTCTGCCATAATCACAACCCCAAACTTCCCTTCTACTACCCCTCCTACAAGTTTTGGGATACCTGCGAAATCACGAAGCACCCACCCTACCCCACCCACCTTCGAATTTTTCCACCAAGCAGCATCATAATTCAGCTTCAAAGTTCCAAAAGGGGGTTTCTCCCAATGCATCTCCGCCTTCTCCCTCTCCACGTCCCCCACACTTCCATCCCGTGGCTCCCTACCCCTCTGTTGTTCCCTCCCATCCATCGCCTCTACTTCCCTAAATGCTTCCAGTTGCTTCCTCCACAACTCCACTGCCGTGTGTGGTAGAATCTTTGTCCCAAAAAATACCACATCATTCTGACACTTCCAGATTCGCCAAAACCCAAACACTACCTGCTGCAATATTGAATCAGCATCCACCTCCTTCTCCAATCGCTCCACTAATCTCTGCCAACCCTCCAAAAAATCCACCACCCCTATAGCCGTCAAATCAATCTGCACGGACGTCCCAAACCAAAAAGCACGGGAAAACTCACACCCAAAGAATAAATGGCCCTCCGTCTCATTTGGCATCCCACAAAGATCACACTTGTTTACCACCCGAATTCGTCTCATCTCCAAGTTATGTCTCACAGCTAACGCCTTCCGACATGCGTTCCAAATAAAGAACCAAAGTTTATTCAGAACCAAGAGAGACCATGTCTTCTTCCATATGCCTCCCATCTCTCCCGCCGAACTTAACATGTCCCCCCCTTTACGTCCAAACTCACCATTTTTCAACATCTCCATCGCCACATAATACCACGACTGCACCGAATAGAACCCATTATTTGTATAATGCCAGATTCTCTTATCCCTGCAACCCCGTCTACTGATTGGGATAGCCTCAATTATATCCACGTCTTCCCGATCCACCATTGCCTCAACCAACTCCATTCTCCACCCCCGTCTATCCAGAGAGATTAGCTCACTAACCTTCACATTAGGAGCCCCTTGCCGCATCATATATTCGGGGCTCCTAATGTGAAGGTTGGTGATGACAGAGCTTCCGAATATATGATGACAGAGCTTCCGCACATAGGAGAAACAAAAAAGGCAACATTGGTCTCCCTGCCGAAGCCCTCTTTCCGGTCTGAAATAACCCGACAGAACACCGTTCACCATAACACTATAAGACACTATGGAGATACATTCTTTAATCCAATCACAAAATTTGGGATGAAAACCCAACTGCCCCATAACACTGATCAAAAAAACCCATTCCACCCGATCATAGGCTTTCGCCATATCCAATTTAATCGCCATCCGACTATCCACCCTGTCCACCCCTTGCTTTAAAGAATGCAAAATTTCATGAACCACCAGAATATTATCATGAATTTGTCGTCCCGGTACAAATGCTGACTGATTAATACTAATAACCCAATCCATCACTTTTTTAAGTCTCCGTGTCAGCACCTTGGTAATAATTTTATAAATGACATTGCACAAAGATATCGGCCTCAACTCCGTCATCTGCATTGAAATTACGCGCTGGAGATGCTAATGTTTTCGGTTTCCATTGAGCTACTATTAGTGTTGAATTTTCCTTACTGTTTCTGCCATGGTTTTATTTTCGTGGTTTATTCTGTATTTGACATGAACCCTCAATTATTTGGGGTTTTTGTGCTCATCCAAGTTCATTATATTTGGCCCGTGCATGTTTTAATGAAATTTCCTCTTTGTTCTTAAAAAACACACATTTTGGCTTCTTAAAAGTGGGATAGGAAAAAAGCACTATGTCCAAATAGAAGCACGGCATTTTTATATCCCACGATTAATTATTTTCAGAGTTCTTCATTTCTCGCATGATTTTACAGCATTAGATGCATTAGTTTCTATAAATCTTCCTTTTTTTTAGTCTCACAATATTTGTGATTATTTTTTTTGTAATCTCATATTTTTATTTGCAAGTATCCTCTTCTTGGGTCATATTCTTCATCTGATTATAATATTTTTCCCCTTTTATAAATGAAATATATTGTACCCTTTGTAAGAAAATAAACTAATCGGGTACAGCACACTCATGATTAAAACATACATAAGATTATATTTCAGCAAAATGACGACGACAAAAATGAGACATTAAAGAAGTTCGTGAACTTAAAACACAAAAGCTCAATTTTGAGGCTAAAGTAAATAATTCATGAATTATTGCTCTAATTCACTCTCCTCTACATTATTGCTTCAAGCCTTTGTCAAAACTCTCGTTCTCTTGGAATCCAACATGGGCAACTTGACTTTTTTCCCTTGGTGTTTGCAAGTGTGTCAAAAGGGTAGAGAGTAACTTGTTTGAGAAAACCTAAATGTAGATGAGAGAGAAGATTAAGTCCATGCACTTTTAGTACGCCATACACTTGGCTTAATTGATCATGGCCAAGTCCTCTTTCTCTGGCATTCCAAAGTGGTCCTCCAAATAAGACATGTACTCTCCTATTCCTTTGTCTTGTCTTGTATCTGCTGATACATGTTTTTCTTCCCAAATACACATAACACAAACAAAATATCAAACTTTTGAATCGAATAAAATATACAGCTTTAACTAGTTATAGAAACTATGTCATAAATTGGTTTACCTATAGTAGCACTTGCGTTTGAGGACTGTTATTTGCTTGTTTACTCCAAAAGGGAAGGAACAAATGTAGCCAATTAAACATGCATATTCTCATCTGGCTGTATCTGCCTACCTGAGAAATAATTTAATCAAATGAGGGAGGCAGCTAGCGTGATGGGTTCCTAGGTGGTTATTTTTGTACTTGAATAGGAAACTTTTGATCACAAGTTTTAACACATACATGATTCCAAGCAGAAAACTTATCACATAAGTTCATTTCAAAAACTATATGATAGTAATGCTCTTAGGGCATCTTTGGTAGGCTGATTGGGATAGGTTTGTGACCAATTAAAATGGATTTGAATCAAGCTCATTGTTTGTTGTGTCAAAATGCGAGATTGACAGGACTGAACATGATGAGTTATGAATCCATTATAGAGTGGGTTCATTACAAGTCCCGTCTTACCTATCCATGCCAAAAACTAAGGCCCAATCTCATCCAACCCACCAAACAGACCCTTAGGATTGGAGAAGTTAGGACGGGGTAATGTGTTCGGATTAGACTACGTTCAGGATTTAATTCCTTCTGATGAAGCTAGAAAGAGAAAACTCTCGTTATGAAGGTTAATTGATCTTGGGTGGAGGATCCTTAGCCTAAAACAGCGTCGCGATCCCTAATCGTCGATTTGTTATTTTCAAGATGGAAAATGTTTTGAAAATCAAACTTATGGAGCGAAATTTGTGGATTCCGCATAAGTTAGGTATTCTCTTGGGAAAAAAAACTACCTAAAAAGCATCTTACATTAAACGAATTTACCGCCACATGGCGTTCTTGTTCTAGCAATGCAAAGTCATGTAAAGATAAACTCACATATGGCATTGTATGATAAGAACAAGACGCTAGGACAAGGGTGAATTTTTTCCACGTAAGCTTTTTTCCTTCTCAAGATGAGACTTATCTGGCAAATAATCTAATGCCTAGGCATGTATAATATACATGGCGTGCCCTTTGAGCACAAACTGAACCGATGGGTGTTTGAAGGGCCCATTACTCAACGGGATAATATTTCATACTCATTCACAAAAGTCGCTGTTCAGTAGATTACAGGAAAGTAATTTAGAAGAACGATAGCACAAGATACTTATCCTTTTTGTAAATTGGTACCTGAAACTAATCACGTAGTACTTTCGAAAAGGAGTTCTGAAAACTTGTACAGCTCTAACGGACTTGGTAATTACGGCATTATTCAGTTGCCCGAGTCATACTATGAAAAACTTCACGCAGCAATGGATGAGTTCCTCTCGCTGAGAATGCGGTAGTAAGTGTCGTGATCCGATGTGTCTCTGAATCCAGGAATGAAATCCGAAAAGAACCTAAGGACTGCAGCTAAATTTTGCAAGTCATTGGAGGTACATGCTGACTCAAGAAACAGCGAAGGTCGAATGGTACTGACCTGAAAATTTCAAATCAAATTAAGAGTCAGGAAAAGCGCTTTCGTAAAATAAAGAAAAAATAACATATACAGTCAGGAAAAATTTGGTATATAAGGAATTACATGAAAGAATTACTAGATAGATATACTGAAACTTAATATTTTGGAAAATCACTAAAAATGTCGATACCAGGAAAAGAAAAAAGGAAAAAAAACTATACAGAATGGAAAAGGATACAGCAATGACAGTTCAAGAAAACATCTAACGGTCGTAATAAAGCAAACCAATCACTAAACACAACATAATAGGTTCAGCAGTCTCAAGAGCAAGAGTTTAAGAGCCAGGGAGTGGCGTTAAAACACAGCAAAAATAAAGAGACGTAAAACCAACAGGAAAATGTATTGGCAATCTGATTGAGAATATACAAAAAAAATCCTTTCTTTCCTCTGATTCCAAGATGGGAATTACCTTGTACTTCCGTGCATAGCGTAATGCTTCAAGGTAATATCCATCTTGCACTAGTAACAGTACATAGTCATGGTGTAAAGAAAGCTGCCTCAGCATATCTAAACCCAACTTCCTTGTTCGAGAGTTCTGACGGCCAGACTCTAGGAGTTGCATTGCTACTTCTTTAGAAGGTTCAAGAATCTGTTGAGAAACAGTTCTCCCCGTGAACATCAGACCAAAAATAAGCAGCATACTGTCGCAAGCATACATTTATAATAGGCTGTTCATATACCTTGTTTAAGACAAACTGCCCAAGTTCTGCATATCGCTCACTGCGTGATAGTAATTGTACGGTCAGGACATAGAGATTAGGATGGACTTCAACCTTTTCAATATTAGCACTGCAAAACAATAGCAAATAAGTATAGAACTGTGATCATTGCCTGATACATTCAAATTTAAAGTATTTAACTTCACACCGATCACAGGAAACCTAATATTCTGGAGACATTTTTAAAGAACGTTCGGGTCTAGGTAGGCTAGCCCCTCAGGCTGAAGTACTGACCAAGCAAATGATAACTTGATATCACCTTGTTCACAAAAATCAATGTTTTCAATTAAAGGGCAGGGGAAAAAAGAATAACAAGAGGGGGGCAACTATGGTTTCAATATCCAATGATCAAGCCTGCCAAAGGAGTAGTAATAGTGAAATAGTAAGTTTACTTCAAGCCGGAGAGAAAAATTAAGTCTTCTTAACCTCATCAATATCCATTAAAAACTTTTTATACGTATTTATAAGATATGTACCCTTCCAGGCAATTTTACAGTTATACAACATCAACCTGTTTTAGTAAAAACAATCAACCAACTAGTCAAACCCCAGGTGCTTGACTCCTCAAATACGAACTACACATATTAACTGTGTAGTGCAAATACAAAGGGAAAATTATGCAAATTCATCAAGAGCCTTGCTAAAACTGTGAAGTGCAGAGAATAAATATCAGGCTAAAACTCTTCTACCTATGTCCATCACGACTTTGTGTTCAAGGCCCTCATTATTAAAAGATTCATAAATATGTCATACCTACGAAGAAACTCAACAATGATGGCAACCAAGTATGAAGGTTCTCCAATAATCTCTTCCTCAACAGGAGCGAACACAAAACTGTACATTTCATAAGATGAAATTACTGGAGAGGTCGGTTGGGACTCTTGCTGCTCCGAAGCATTAGCATCCAATGGGCTGTTGCCGGATCTAAGAACTTGATATTGCAAAGATGAAGACCGAATTTCACCACCAGACGTTTCAGCACCCGTTAACTTCCCCCTGTCCATTTTACCATCGAACAATTGAGAGTTATTTGAAGTGGCCTTTGGCGCTTCAAAGCTTGTACTATCCTCAGAGTCGGAATTTGAATAGGTTAAAAATCTGTTAGGCGATTCACTGTCCAATCCAGCAGCAGATTCATATTTAATGGACTTCCCAACTGTGTCTACTCTTCTAGAAGATACATCAGCACTAGATCTAGGGCCACTCGTCTGTGGCTCACCAGAAGGTGATGTTTTTGCAGATTTTATTCCCTTAAGATAGGTGCCTGTCTTAATAGAGTGGGAGTAGGAGGAAACTAAAACATCTAATGCCCGAGACACTGTAGACACAGGTCTGCGTTCTAGAATAACAGTGCGTGCTATTGATAAGCACAGTTGTTTAGCCTGAAAAGGAAATGGAACAAAGTTATCGCCAATAGTCATTAAGCAGTTGCCTGAAAAAAAGCAATGAAACACCACAAGAACATGAAACCACTCGACCAGATGTTACAGACCATAAATATTTATCTTTTTAACTGCATGCTATATCTTGGATGGTAAAATGGTTTTGACATAATGAGCAACCCAAAATAGCCACTAAAAAACTAATATAATTGCATGCTGTAAGCAGCTGACATTTACAAAAAGAAAGAAAATCTAGCAACTGATGAGCATGGCAAAACCGAATGAAGAATTCTACCTTATTGGCTTCTAACTTCCGCCGTTGCAAGAATTCAAGTACTGACGGTACTTCTGAGCTACTGGCAGAAATTGCCTAGGAACAAAGAGAAAGACAGGTTATGCAAGAAAAGAACCCTTTTACTTTTCTTACTCTTAACTGATGGAAGAAGAAAAATCTTATTACTAGATTGAAAAATGGAAATAAATGGAAACTTGCCTCCAAATCTAAATGAATCTTCCACAAAAGTTGATTAGCAACATCACAGATGAGATCAGGAACGAGAAAAGTCCAATTATCTCCGTAGACGATTGCTTCATGGTCACTTAAAACATTAACTTCTGAACTTTCATTATCTTCTCTATTTGATCTCAGGGAAGAAGAATTAGACCTGGGGAAACCCCTGAATAGTAGAGGAAGTGGGGCTGATATGGGTGCCCGAGAATCTGCAAATATATCATACAGTATAACAACCTTCGCATCAACTTGATGCACAAGCAATACATTATCAACCACACTCACAGCAACCTTGCTTGAATAAATTGGCAAAGAACCCTGAAAAATATAGGTAAACACCATTTGTGTAGAATAAGTATATATTATGAGTAAATTTGAATAGCAACCACATGAAGCCTAGGTTTACTCACAAATGCACTAAATTAAACTGATCACATGAAGCCATTATTTACTCATAATTGTACCGACACTCTCTCACAAACATCACCCACCGATACGATTCAAATTTACCAAGAATTTTTTTTTCATATCCTTTATCTATGCAGATGAATTGAAGTACAACCAAACAATAATACGGACAAGGAGGCCAGCCCCAATTGTACATGTAGCCTCGCGAAGATAATGACTGGAAATAATATAAAGCAGGATTTCTAAGGATTGGCAGTTTACACTCCAGTAATTTAGATATATCAATGGAGTATCACAGAAGTATCAGTGCAATATACATATAACGCCCTTGCATAACATACCTATGCAAAATATCTTGAAATGTGTATTTTACATTTATGATTTACCTGAAAACTCTCCAATGGAGAGATGTAAAAATATCCATCTTCACCAGAAAATGTAAATAAAAACCTTTTTTTTTACATCTTTTGGTTTGGTGGTGGGTCCCGCCAATCAAAGGGAAAAAAATAAATGGAATCTCCCATTTACATCTCCCGTTGGTTTTAGCATCTCAATTTTGCATCTCCCCATTGGAGACGTTCTCATAAAGGGAATCAAACCCTTCATCTAGCTTACTCCTAACCCATTTTCCCACCCACCCTCATCACTACGGCCAGTTAGTTGACATTTCAAATTAAAGTGGAGCAAAAGATTATAACAGACAGTTTGAACACAAAATTTACCTGTTGTACAACCACATCACGGTAAAACCTGTAAGAGTGAAGGAGCATTGCAATCCTATCAACTTGCAGACAGTATATTCTGCCATAGCTGAACAATGAAAGGCAGTATATAAGCCTTAATTTTGGTTGGCCAATAAAATCTGGCAAAGAGAAAAATAGGATAGGGACCTACACAGTGACTATAAAAATATCTTCAGCAGCAAGGACAGGTTTATTGTTAGCCTCAGATTTAGCCATTGCCATCTCAAACTTTGGCAGACGAATAATGCCTGCAGATGAGAGCTACCCGGAAGAAGTAGCACATGTGTCAAGACTAAAACAAGAGAGTGCACTGAATGCCTTACAAGCATATATATGAATAACTCTGCTAAGAAAGATAATTACAATGGGACTACAAGACAGAAAACTATGTTGTGAAATAACTCTTTTACTTTTCTTTAACAACAAAATGCAAATAATAAATACTGCCACATATGTTACAGCAACAATTGTTCATGGAAGTAATTTCCTGATCCATTTTTCTTAATACCAAGACAGCAAACTTAAAGTTCTAAAACAAAAACATTATCAGATTTACACATACCTGAAAACCATTGAAGGTTTTGCACTGCATTCCTGAAGCAAGAAGAACCATGCGACTTTCATGTGTGTAAACATACCAACTCACATTCAATTTCCTCGTCTCAACCAACTGGAGTGATTTTGACTCAGAATTGTAAGCAAACAAGTCCAGCCCACTGAGATTGAAATCCATGCAAAATGAAAGAAAGGGTAAACCTTGGCATAAACAAATGTGGTCGAGAAAAATTTCTATTGTAAAGATGATTCCCTAGAAACGGTTCACAAAACATGCTCTATCTCCTCAAAACTCAAGATTTGGTACAATACAATACCCTTCACCTAGAAATCCTTTGCATGGGGCCACAACAAAGACAAAAGTTTCCTGACCATGTAACTCAATGGGCAGATTATACACGAAAAGCATGGCATGTTTTTAGTGGGAAAATGGAATTGTATCCAAATAACCAAGAAAGCACCCTTTAAATATAGTAATTTAAAAAAAAAAAATTAGAAACCCTCCAGCAATGACCCAATGGTAATCTTTTATGGCTACTATTACTTGGTAAATAATGGTACTTGAAAAGTAGAACTTTAAGTTCTTCTTGATGACCAGACATCCGTTACCATGTTAAACAAGCGGAGGAAAGATTGGCCATGACAATAACCTGCTCTCTGCTTGCAGCACTACAGTCCTTCACACCTCCAAGCTATCAAAGGCCATTACCCTGTGTCAGTCCTACTTAACACAGGATCCTCCGAGAAGAGATCCAGATATTATCCTACCCTTCAACGTTTTTGCATGAAGTCACCCTCAATAAATTATAAATTTGGAAATAGATGTTTTGTATATATCTTTTTGTTACTGCACCACAAAAGAGGTACATTTTGGCAACATAACCCAATTTGTTTTGTCTTTCCTGTGTTTTTAACAAACAGAAGTGTATCCCTGGACCTCAAAAAATAAGTGGCCTTTAACTAGTTTACTTGTCCTCCAAAGTGGGAAAAGTATAGAGGTATACCCATCTTCATGAAAAAAAATTCTTGACAGAAGCAGAACCATGAATGACCATCCAATCAAGATACTAGAATTTTCTCTCAAATGATAAAAATCTGCCTATTTGATAGATCAATGGTCCAAGTTCAACTGAACAGATGGGTAAGACTAAGTCGCACAGACATGGATATGCGATACGATACGATATGGTGATACAGAAAAGGTACAAAAACCAGGAAACAGACCAACAATACGCCAATGAATTATGCTATAACAAATACAAAATAAGTAAAACAGAAAATCCATCATTCTGCATCCTGACAAAATACTTTGCACATTGGTCACCTATCCTTTCCGGAAAAACTTAAAGTCGTCAACTTAACCAATACACATTTGGATATGCATGCAGCCGTAGCGGCGTGCATCCATATCCAGTAGTACATATCTTAATTTTGGAATATATTTGCTTTATAGAGTATGACAGCAGACTAAGCCCTTTTGCATGTTTAACATTTTTTGCTTCCCCAAAGAACTATATGTATCATTGTATCCAGAAACTACAAAGATAATGAATATACGAATAAATACACAATTCAAGTAAGATTCAGTAATACTCGTAAAAAATTGAGGAAAAACGTATCCTTACCTGGTCTTTACAAATACAATATCACACACTGGGCAATCTGTCCAAAAAAAACCCAGTATGCTCTCTGACTCTAACTTGCACATCTGACTAAAAGTTTCCCCACTTCCTCTATCGTAGAACTGTACCTCGTGATCAGATCTTTGGATTGCTATAAACTTTGCATCTAATGAATATCGAATAGATAAGATGGGGCCTTCACTAATTGAATCAGAAGTAGGAGTAACCACAGGATCAAAAGGAACAGTTTTCCAACAGAAGACCTATCTCAAAGAAAAAAAAAGGGAAAATAAACACACCACCTGAATCAAATTGGAACTAATGACTTAAAGAATTGGAAACATTCAAATACAATATCATATTACCTGATCTGATGTTGGGGAAAGCAGCAACTTATTGCCATCATCATAAAATAAACCCTTTGAACCAGCTACGCTGCTTCTTAGGGGCAGATATGGAATATAAACATGTGACAGAGCACCAGACCCACTCAAACCAATGCTAGACTGTGAACTTGATGCTTTTCCAGACATCTCGTTTGATTGATTTTCAGACTTTTGAAGAGTTATTGCAGGGCTTAGCAAGTACTGCTACAGATAATGGGAATCCTCAACCAGGCTCTGGGCTGGAAAATGAAAAAAAAAAAAAAATTGTTTAAGGTACAGAAGAAAGAGATGAACTAAATACTCTAAAGGATCATGTAAGTGGAACCGTATGAAAGTTAATCAAAATTTTCTAGGAACATGAAGCACCTTTTCCAAATGGTCCTAACTACTGTCTCCAAGCACAGAAGGTCACACTTGCTGGCTCACGGCTTTCCTCGCAGCTATTCAGAAGCAAACAAGGAGACTCAAAGCAATTTCTCTGGAAGATTACAAGTGCAGATCTGCCATACAATATGACATCTACTATTAATATCAAAATGATACCACATTTTGCATGCAACTCTTTAAAGCAAGAAATTCTTTCAAGCACATATCACGTTCAACTTGTGGAACCTTTGCTGCAACACAACCCCCGTATTCTTTTGCCTGCGTGGAAGAGATATATTAAAAATAATGCACCATACAGGTTCCAAGGTTTTTTGTATACAAGCAGCTCCTAGAAAATATCAGTTTAAAATAAAAACTTTGTTCTCCAAACTGCATTTAATGTTTTTTAAAGATTGACTGCACAATGTAACTAAAAGGACACAAAAGATTAAAGAAGCTATTATACTTCTTCGTTTTCCACATAATCTCTCTTCTTCTACCTGAACATGATTTCAATGTTTATGACTCCCCATGACAATATAAATTTTTCCTGCCAATATTCCACTCTCGGATAATTTCATGTATCCGGAATGAGTATAACTCTACGTAATAATATAACATCTTCATAAAAAATCATACACTATTTTTTGTGCAAAGCTTCAAACTTGACAACAACCAGAAACATCTCGTGCATCAAAAGTTTAAGGCTACACTTCTCAACCTAAATTTAAAACCTTGTTTAAATTCCCGGGTACTGAAAGTCTCTGTGCAGCTTCTCCCAATCCCGTAGCACTTTAAACTAAAATTAAACATTCCAAAATCAACAAATTCGACCGCAAAACCGCCCAATACAAGGATAGAAAACCTTCTTGGATCAAAATTTACTCATTCACGTATAATTAACATAATCAGTACTTGCAGAAAGTAAAGACATTTACATACCTGAGCTGCACAAGTCACTAAAATTCGCTTAAGGGTGGAAGTAGAGTTCCTTTCTTTCATATCCCCTTACTGTGAAAGAAATAGCAAAATAAATAAACAAAATTGTTAATAAAATAGTTATAAATCTAACAAAAATCGTGGAATTGTTAATACACGAGCTCAGCTAAAACAACGCAACAGTAAACAAATCCCTCAATCAAACCCTAACTACAATTCGTTCAAATTTCCCAATTTTTTTTTACAAAATTTTACGCAAAATTCCACAGCAGCAAGCGGAAGAAGAAGGAGAGAGAGATGGAAGTTACCAGATGAAATTACCATCGGAAGATTTGAGACGATCACAGTAGAGAAGGCGAAGATCTCAGAGACTCGGACCGTGTGGTAATGTTTGGGGACGGAAACTGGAAAGGACTAACCGATGAACCTAACAGTCAGTGTCGGGCGTCAACAAACAGCCACGTTAAAGGTGGGCTTTGCGTCATCTAGTCTCTGGATGTAATCAGGTGGACCTTTGATTTGTGGCTCAGAGCTTCACCAACTGGCCCAGTAATCAACTGGACTTTCCAGCGTTTGTAAGATTTTTTAGTGTGACCGGAACACTGAGTAGTACATCACGTGTCATTATACAAATGGTAAAATATGTGTCAGAGAGTCAATTGAGAGATTTATCAATTCTCTGTCACATTACAGTTTAACATTAATTATCGTGCTAATATTATAAAACATTGTTAAAAACATGAAGTGTCAAAGAGTCAATGGATAGTCTCATTTTTAAGATAGTCTCCTTAGCTTTTCTCAAAAAAATAAAAAAAGCTTAACTACATTATTTCACCTATGAGTGTACGTATGGTGCACCTAAACCTTAAATCTAAGAGAAAATTGTAGCATTGGTTTCTCAACTTTAACCCAATTAGAGTAATGGTCCCTTAACTAAATATTCATGGCAATTGGTCATTTAACTCATCAAAATGTGCAGCTATGGTCCTTTCATTAAATTCATCAGAATTCGATAATTTCCAACGGGAAATGGACTACAGCAGGGTGCGTATAATTTCTATAGCTCCACCCACCTTATAATTATTTACATACTAATTTATTTTATATTGTTACACAATTAATGAGTTGTTTTTACACAATATTAGGTTTGTGGTCTACGGTGCCAAAAATGGTACTAATACCCCTTGATTTGAGTAATGCAATCACATTCATGCATAATGACCTACATCAATTAATTAATATTGTACTAATTTGAGTAATGTAATAACATGGGTACAATATTAACAATGTCATTATGTGTTATGACCTATAACCTTATCATTATTATAAAACATCGTACTGTAAGGTTTGACAATTACAATTACATTACTTGTAATTGGACGTACGTTGATCATCATTAATGTTATATTGCAACGTTGTTAAACGTGAAGACAAAAAAGTCTAAAATAAATATATGACTGGCAATTTCACGACGTTCGCTAATAATTTTACTAAAACAACATATTTCAGTACCCCTTTTTGTTTTTAAAATAAATAATAGAATTTCCTTATTAATTTAGCTACTAGTGGATTTTTCTTTGAGTGCATTCTATATGACTCGATTCTCATACTTTTGCGCACACGAAGACTTCCGAGGCACTCATCCGATATAATCATCAATAATGGCAGCTAATTATATCTTAATTTGATGCCATCATCAAACATTGAAGGCATATTCATGTTCTTACTTAACTTAACCACTTTCTAATTATTAGAAATTATACTTTGTGTTAATATTAATTGTTTTTGTTGGAAGGAGATGGTTGACATGTCGTTTATTGACCCATAATTTTTATTTTTTTTGGCAATTACTATTTAATATATATATATATATGTTTTTTTTGGCAATTACTATTTTTTTTTTTTTTGGCAATTACTATTTAATATATATATATATTTTTTTTTTTTTTGTACGTACCTGTAGCCAGCTCATGGACATCTTATGTTATTGACCAAAACAAAGGAACATCGTTTGTTGGTTTGCCAGACTAGTCGTTCTCAACTGCTCGCGGCAAAAGATTTCGTCACCCTTTGTTTTGTGTTTGTGGTTATAATTGGATTTGGATCCTGAGGCAATTGGTAAGGATCTTCCTGATTAGTAGATCATTGGATTTTTATCCAACGATTACGAATATGAGGCCCTTTGAAAATTATAATAATTGTAGTCGTTAGATAAAAATTCAACAGTCAACTAACACTGGTCAAGAGGATCCCGACCAGTTGCCTCAAAGAGGATCCAAATCCGTTATAATTATTTATATATTTTTTTACTTTGAATATAATAAGATTTTGTCTATAATTGCATGGAAATTATAAAACAATATTATGAGAAAAGAGAGATTCGAATTTGGAAACTCCAACCAAACAGAGGATTTTTTTTTTTCTTTCAGTACAGCGATATATTTGTACACTAGGGAATGAGAGAGTTCGGTTAAGCCACATATTGGAAAAAAATTTCAGTTTGATCGGCACACAAAGCGTATACCATGTGTCACTATACAAATTTTGGAATATGTGTGTTAAAAAATTAATAACTTAAAAAATAAAATTTCCCACCATTTACATAAAAACACATGATGTACCATCCGTGTTCGTGTCACAATTAAAAATTTCTCCACACATTGAGCAATCTAATTTGATATCGAATTCACCATCCACAAAATTCAAACCTAAAACATCTTACTCACAAATGAAGAAAAATATCATCAGACTGTAATACTGAATAATACCAAACTAGAGTTTTAGACATGCTAGTATGCGCGAATTTAAATTTCTATCGGTATTGCTCGGATCATAACTATTGAAATTCAATGTTAAAATTAGCAAAGCACATTTATACATTTCAATGTAAAAATTGTATTAGGGGAATATGTCGTCATGGTCGATGGATGATCCACTAGGAGGTTAAGCTGGGCGAATTAACCTTGTGGCGACCAAAAATGTCTAAGCGAGGTTCACCAACGCCTTTGTGTGTGTTGTCGACATTTATTGAAAGACTTTCTCGGCGAATGTTTATATCCGTCAACAAACTCGCTTGGAAGCTGTTTGCATTTGTCGACAGCCGTGCAATATGTGACTATAGGCCATCAATTGTTTAACAAAATGTCACAATGAAAATTTTACATTTTGTTTATGTACAAAAAAAATTTGTGCACTATGCGTGCTATTTCCTTACTTACTACCTTTCCCTAAGAACTTTTCCTGTATTTGCGACCACAATAACTTGCTATTGAAACTCTCTCACAAATATGCAAATTTTGAGGTGTTGACCGTATGTTTCTAGGGCTCATAAGATATTAAAATTGTCACATCCCCGCCCAGGCCCCCCATATCCTAGACTCAACTCCGCCCTATCACGATATTGTCCGCTTTGGACCCCAACCACACCTTCACGATTTTGTTTCTAGGAACTCACACTAAAACTTCTCAGTAGGTCACCTATCCTGGGATTGCTCTCGCGTGAACTCGCTTAACTTCGGAGTTCTTACGGAACCCGAAGCTAGTGAGCTCCCAAAAGACCTCGTGATAGGTAGAGATGGGAATATACATATGTTGACCCTAAAAATTACAAAGCCTATGTGGCGCGCAGGTCGAGTAACTAATAAGATAACTACGTCATTCGGTTGAATATGGGGTCTGCTAACTCGTCGGTCGAGGAGTAAAATTTGTTGATGTTGCGTTGAGTGCGCTGCTGACTTTTTGATCTTGCGATTATGGCTGAGGAAGGAACAAATCTCAGCCTTTTGGTTCTCGAGCCTAAAGACAAGGCTGCTAGTTCTACGAAGTTCAATATCGAATTCGGCTCTCAAGGTGCCGAATGTAGTAACCTGGTAACACCTCACTTCACCGAGAAGGCTAATGAGATGACCTCTGCCAATAAGGATTCGAAAATCTTTCATAACCGAGACTTGGATAGATAACCAGTCGGCCTCGACACAGTGTTGTTCATCCAAACTGAAGGTGTTTTGTGGTCGGCTGATTTTACGGCAACAGTGCTGTTTATCCAAACTGAAGGTATTCACCGGTTGCCTTCACAGTGTTGTTTATCCAAACTGAAGGTGTGTTGGTAGAAAAAAGAAAATAAAAAAAATCTCAAAGTGTTTGAGAGGTTTGCGGAGAGCAGTTGTGTGTTGAATTGGAGGTCTTTTCTTGTTGCCACTGCCTCTGTATTTATAGGGCTGATTACTTGCTTGACATGGCCTGGACGATAAGCAGAGCATTTCAATTGCACCTAAAGACTTTGGAATATCCTGAGAAATAAAACGATGACCACATGCGAATCTGGACGTCAAATAGGGACTCTGCATTCTAATCCTATCTTATTCCAACTTTGACTTACCTTTACCCCATCACTGAATTTGTTGGACGGTCATACACAGTTCTTTTCTCATCCAAAACAATCACCTTGTTTTTCTCAATGCCTATACGCCCCACACGTTGTAGACACCTATCCAATTTGCTACTGGAACTTATCCCACCTGCAAGTTACCTATGCATGCATGAAGACCATGCATCCCACAATTCTAATCAAACCCCATACTGATATATTCAGTCGTAACCATGCATGAAGGCCATATGACAAGATGGAATCCAACTACAATCTTGTTGGATAAAAAATCTATTTGTTGATGTAATTAAACTCCAAGATAACTACTCTGATGGATAATATCTGGATATCTTTAATCAAAATAATTATCGTGAAATTTAATAAAAACATCTTTATCCTAGGAGCGATTCAAATATTTTGTCCATCCAATGCCGTACCGATTATGTAAAATCGGGCCCAAACAACATATAAGGCTTACATGATCCTCGTCCCTGGGCGATGTGAGATCTTACAATCTACCCCCCTTAGGGCCCCGCTAGGTAGAGATAAGAATATATATATAAGGCTTATAGAATCCTCATCCTTGGACGATGTGAGATCTTACAAAAATGGTAATATGAATGCTAAATATGGTAATAGTTGTGGTTATTTCTTGAAATAAATTTTTATATTAGTGAAATTTACTACCTTGCATGAATAGTCATTATTATGGTACCTCAATCCAGAAATCAACTTGGCAAACCTAAGAATTTTATGCCATTAGATGATTTTATTTTGTTTTGTCTTTCATTTTCGTTAATTTAGATTGACCCATTTTAATAGATTTTTTGACTTCGCCACTTAGCCTAGCGCACCACCTTAAAAAATAGAAAGAAAAAAAATGAGTCATAGCTTCAGCCTCATCATTTGCAATTTCTTTTGTGGTTATATAATAAAGTTATTAGTTATTTATTCCCAAAAATTATGGTGGGTTAGGCTTGATCATATCTTTTAACCCCATGCAATAACTTTCATCCATCTTCCCTTTATATATGGACCAACACTTTTATGTTAAGGAGTTAAAAATTCATCAAAGTTAGGTGGAGATACAGTTTTTCACGTTATTGACAAAGCGTCTAAC